AGTTCAAAAATTCATATGGAAACACCAAAGACCCCGAATAGCCAAAGCAATCCTGAAAAAGAAGAATAAAGTAGGGGGGATCTCACTCCCCAACTTCAAGCTCTACTACAAAGCCATAGTAATCAAGACAATTTGGTACTGGCACAAGAACAGAGCCACAGACCAGTGGAACAGAATAGAGACTCCAGACATTAACCCAAACATATATGGTCAATTAATATACGATAAAGGAGCCATGGACATACAATGGGGAAATGACAGTCTCTTCAACAGATGGTGCTGGCAAAACTGGACAGATACATGTAAGAGAATGAAACTGGATCACTGTCTAACCCCATACACAAAAGTAAACTCCAAATGGATCAAAGACCTGAACATAAGTCATGAAACCATAAAACTCTTAGAAAAAAACATAGGCAAAAATCTCATGGACATAAACATGAGTGACTTCTTCATGAACATATCTCCCTGGGCAAGGGAAACAAAGGCAAAAATGAACAAGTGGGATTATACCAAGCTAAAAAGCTTCTGTACAGCAAAGAACACCATCAATAGAACAAAAAGGTATCCTACAGTATCGGAGAATATATTCATAAATGACAGATCTGATAAAGGATTGATATCCAAAATATATAAAGAGCTCACATGCCTCAACGAACAAAAAGCAAAGAATCCAATTAAAGAATGGGCAGAGGAGCTGAACAGACAGTTCTCTAAAGAAAAAATCCAGATGGCTAACAGGCACATGAAAAGATGCTCCACATCACTAATCATCAGAGAAATGCAAATTAAAACCACAATGAGATATCCCCTCACACCAGTAAGGATCGCCATCATCAAAAAGACAAACAACAACAAATGTTGGCGAGGTTGTGGAGAAAGGGGAACCCTCTTACACTGCTGGTGGGAATGTAAATTAGTTCAACCATTGTGGAAAGCAGTATGGAGGTTCCTCAGAATGCTCAAAATAGAAATACGACTTGGCCCAGGAATTCCACTTCTAGGAATTTACCCTAAGAATGCAGCACTCCAGTTTGAAAAAGACAGATGCATCCCTATGTTTATCACCACACTATTTACAATAGCCAAGATATGGAAGCAACCTAAATGTCCATCAGTAGATGAATGGATAAAGATGTGGTACAAAAGATGTGGTACATATACACAATGGAATATTCCTCAGCCTTAAGAAGAAAACAGATCCTACCATTCACAACAACACCTTTAGAGGGTGTTATGCTCAGTGAAATAAGCCAGGCAGAGAAAGACAAGTACCAAATGATTTCACTCATATATGGAGTATAAGAACAAAGGAAAACTGAAGGAACAAAACAGCAGCAGAATCACAGAACCCAAGAATGGGCTAATAGTTACCAAATGGAATGGGACTGGGGAGGATGTGGGGGAAGGGAGGGATAAGGGCTGGGAAAAAGAAAGAGGGCATTCCAATTAGCATGTACAGTGCGTGCGGGGCCTGGGGAGGGCTGTGCAACACAGAGAAGACAAGTAGTGATTTTACAGCATCTTACTATGCAGATGGACAGTGACTGTGAAGGGGAATGTAGGGGGGACTCAGTGAAGGGGGGAGCCTAGTAAACAATGTTCTTCATGTAATTGTAGATTAATGATAACTAAATAAACATAAAAAAACTTATCAAAAAAAAGAGCTCACACACCTCAACAAACAAAAAGCAAATAATCCAATTAAAAAACGGGCAGAGGATCTGAACAGATACTTCTCCAAAGAAATTCAGATGGCCAACAGGCACATGAAAAGATGCTCCACATCTCTAATCATCAGAGAAATGCAAATTAAAACCACAATGAGATACGACCTCACAGTAGTAAGGATGGCCACCATCCAAAAGACAAACTACAACAAATGTTGGCGAGGTTGTGGAGAAAAGGGAACCCTCCTACACTGCTGGTGGGAATATAAATTAGTTCAACCATTGTATAAAGCAGTATGGAGGTTCCTCAAAGAACTAAAAACAGAAATACCATTTGACCCAGAAATTCCACTCGTAGGAATTTACCCTAAGAATGCAGGAGCCCAATTTGAAAAGACATTATGCACCCCTATGTTGGCTGCAGCACTTTTTACAACAGCCAAGAAATGGAAGCAACCTAAGTGTCCATCAGCAGATGAATGGGTTAAGAAGATGTGGTACATATACACAATGGCGTATTATTCAGCCATAAGAAGAAACAATTCCTACCATTTGCAACAACATGGATGGAGCTAGAGGGTATTATGCTCAGTGAAATAAGCTAGGTGGACAAAGACAACTATCAAATGATTCTCTCGTCTGTGGAGTATAAGAACAAAGAAAAAAACTGAAGGAACAAAACAGCAGCAGACTCACAGAGCCCAAGAATGGACTAACAGTTACCAAAGGGAAAGGGACTGGGGAGGATGGGTGGGAAGGGAGGGATAAGGGGAAAAAGGCGCATTATGATTAGCACACATAATGTTGGTGGATGGCACAGGGAAGGCAGTATAGCACAGAGAAGACAAGTAATGATTCTACAGCATCTTACTACGTTGATGGACAGTGACTGTAATGGGGTATGTGCGGGGGACTTGATAATGGGGGGAATCTAGTAACCACAGTGTTGTTCATGTAAGTGTAGATTAACGACACCAAAATAAATAAATAAATAAAAATAAGAAATACAAGAGAAGAAAAAAAAAAACCCCAAACAAACTTAGGTTCCTTAATTTATCACTGATAAATTTAAAATGCATATACTACCTGATTCTGATTCTTAAAGTACAAGGGGACGAACAGATAAAATTGAGAAATCACTAATATCTGAGTGACTGCTTATTAAGCATTTGTCTGTCAACCCACGTTTAAGTTCATGCAAGTTATGGGAAAATAATTACACAATACTATCAAATACTTACAATTTTTCTTAACCATATTTGACCTTTTAATGTCTAAGAATATATTTTCAGGGATCTTACTAGGAATAACACGGTTAAAAAGTATGATAAATATGCACACACAAAAAAATACAGGCCAATCATTAACATATTCTTCTCCATACGTAACACCATAAAACTTTGTTTTCCTTTTTAAAGCAGTAATACATCCGGTCTAAAGCAAGGCTAAAGTGATAGCGATCTCAATTTCAGGATATATAAGCTCAAATTTATAAAAATGTCCAAGCTAAAACATTCCTACTTCTTTCCAGTCTTAGTATACTGACTAGAAAATGCATATGCCTAATTGACTCAGGGTAGTTTTACACATCAGTAGGACTCAGAATTACACGAAGCATCCCTTTCCATGCAGAGGTCCCAATCAACAGGAGACAGGGACTGAGGGAACGACTACACAAAACATCACTTTTGTTTTAGCATCCTCTACTGGTGGTTTCCAAAAACAGCAAGTAGAAATGGTGCAAATAACAGAAAAATATGTACCTGCTATTCTATCTAAAGTAAAGTAATCAGATTGTGGTCATTAGTAGCTAGAATGCGTTCCTCAAAAAAAAAAAAAAAAAAAAAAGATAAGGAAACCACATACAGAGTATAAGTGGAAAATGAGAAGACAGATTTTTTTTAAATTTAACAAGCAAAGCATTACATTATAAATGGTAAAAAATGATTTAAGCAATTCAAAATCCACTCCTTTATTATATGACTAACATCATTACCGTCAAGTTACTACATAAGGTTTGATGCTTTGGCTAAACCATGCTCACTTGGTTTACGCCTGTTAAGTTACATTACTTGATGTCCCATTAATATCCTACACTGCAGATATATTCCAGAAAGGAAATTGAAAATGTTTTACTGCAGGCTTAGCAGTAAAATCTGCATATCTTATTTTAAAATGAACAAAAAACTATTTACATACAAAATAGCATAAAGTATCTCTAGGACTATCTATCACTCTATATACAACACTCACCCTGTCATTAAAAAGACTTAAGAGATAACATTTTCCAAGCAGTTCTCTCCAGTAAACAGCTGCAACTTAAAAATATGATCTCATTGCTAAGAAATATTAACCAGCACCTATTCTAAGGTTTCATAACACAATGGTGTATTTTAATTCGAATGGCGAATTTTAATTCGCCCCTGAGATAAGCAGAAATGCAAACAACTTACGCAAATCAAGAAACACTGCAGCTGCAGCGCGAGCAGCGGACCGAGCGTCCGTGGGTCCGTCCGCCCCTTCCTCTACCCGCCTTCCACCCGAGACCGAGCGCGCCATCCAAGCTCCATTACCCGGTGCAGCGCTCCGCGCGTCTGGCCCAGGTAACAACTTCCCCAGAAGCCCACAGAGAAGACAGGCGTCCGCACAGAGCCCCAACCCGGCGCAGAAAAACATCCCTCCCCGGGGAGGGGATCTGTCTGTGGTGCTTCCCGGTCTCCGAGACCAGGTAACTCCACAAAGGCGCCCGCAGCCCCAGCTCGCCTCCGCTCAAGGTCTCTCCGCGGGGGCAAGTAGGTGCCCGCTCGTGACCCGAGTCCCCGACCGCCGCGCCAGCTCCCCACGGAACGTGCGCGGCTCTCACGGGAGTCGCCTCGCCGGGGCCCGAGGTGCAGGGAGGGGTCCCGCTTCTCTCCATTCCGCCGGCGCGCCTCGCCAGGCGGTCACTTCGCCGCCGCCGGCCCAGCGCGCAAGAGCGACACGCATCCCGCAGCCGCCTCCGCACGTATTCCGCAGCCCGAGCCCGGCGGGTCCAAGCCGCGGGGCCCGAGCGAGAGGACCTTGTGTCCGACCTGCGCCAGGCACAAGTTGGTTCCCACGCGCGCGGGAGCCTCCGCGCTAAGGTGGGGTAACACGGAGCGGGCTGAGTTCCGGAGGAGGGGCCTAGGGGCAAGATAGTGGGGTGCGTGCGGAACAAAGCAAAGGGCCGCTCCCCCCGGGACCAGAGAAGGGGCCGGCCGCGCGCAGCACGGCTCCCCCGCCCTCACCCCCGGGGCGCCCGGGCGCCGGCTCCCCCGGACTCCGCCGCTCCCTGGTCCACCCGCTGCTCACCGTTATGGCGCCGCGGACTCTCCTGCTTTCTGCGCTGACGCCTGGGGTCGTCCACCTGCTCCTCCTCGCGTCCTTCGAAAAGTTCCAGTCAGGTCCGCCGACTTTCGCCGCCCTGCGCCTGGCTTACGACGTCGCGGCTTTACGTCATCACGTTCCTTACACCTAGAACCGCTCGTTCTACGGCAGCAACCTTGTTGCTAAGGAGACGGTTTGCGCCAATCCTGGAAGCCGCTGAGTTTGAATGGAGGGGCAAGGGAAAAGTTTCCCTCAGGTGTCGTGAATTCGGGGAGACTTCATTGAAAATAATAAAACATTACTGAGAAAGGGTGGGTGGGGAAGAAGGGAGAAGGGAAAGAAAGGGCATTACGATTTGCGCACATAATATAGAGGGGTGGGGGAGGGTACGGGGAAGGGAAGGCAGTACAGCACAGAGAAGACAAGTAGTGACTATAGCATCTTACTACTACCCTGATGGGCAGTGACTGTAACCGGGTATGTGGTGAGGACTTGATAATGGGGGAATCTAGTAACCGTCAGGTTGCTCATATAACTATATTAATGATACAAAAACAAAAATACGTCAAGAGGATCATACACCATGATCAATTGGGATTTATCTCAGGGATGCAAGGATGGTACAACATTTGAAAATCCATCAATGTCATCCACCACATCAACAAAAAGGACAAAAACGACACGATCATTTCCATAGATGCTGAAAAAGCATTCGACAAGATTCAACATCCATTCATGATAAAAAATCTCAACAAAATGAGTATACAGGGCAAGTACCGCAACGTAATAAAGGCCATATATGATAAACCCACAGCCAATATCATACTTAACAGCGAGAAGCTGAAAGCTTTTCCTCTAAGATCGGGAGCAAGACAAGGATGCCCACTCCTCCCACTTCATTCAGCATAGTACTGGAGGTCCTAGCCAGGGCAATCAGACAAAACAAAGAAATAAAAGGCATCCAGATTGGTAAGGAAGAAGTCAAATTGTCACTGTTTGCAGATGACATGATATTGTACATAAAAAACTCTAAGCAACCCTCACAGGGCTAGTAACATGGGGCTGAACTAATATCTGAATTCAGCAAAGCTGCAGAATACAAAATTAATACACAGAAATCTGTTGCATTCCTATACACTTAATGATGAACTAGCAGAGAAATCAGGAAAACAATTCCATTCACAATTGCATCAAAAAGAATAAAATACCTAGGAATACAACTAAAGAAGGAAGTGAAAGACCTATACCCTGAAAACTACAAGACACCGATGAGAGAAATTAAAGAAGAAACCAATAAATGGAAACACATCCTGTGCTCTTGGATAGGAAGAATTAATATTGTCAAAATGGCCATCCTGCCTAAAGCAATCTACAGATTCAATGCAATCCCTATCAAATTACCAACAGCATTCTTAAATTAACTGGAACAAACAGTTTTAAAATTCATATGGAACCACAAAAGACCCTGAATAGCCAAAGCAATCCTGAGAAGGAAGAATAAAAGACCCTGAATAGCCAAAGCAATCCTGAGAAGGAAGAATAAAGCAGGGGGGATCTCGCTACCCACCTTCAAGCTCTACTACAAAGCCACAGTAATCAAGACAATTTGGTACTGGCACAAGAACAGACCCACAGACCAGTGGAACAGAATAGAGAATCCAGATATTAACCCAAGCATATATGATCAATGAATATACGATAAAGGAGCCATGAATGTACAATGGGGAAATGACAGCCTCTTCAACAGCTAGTGTTGGCAAAACTGAACAGCTACATGTAAGGGAATGGAACTGGATCATTGTCTAACCCCATACACAAAAGGAAATTCAAAATGGATCAAAGACCTGAATGTAAGTCATGAAACCATAAAACTCTCAGAAAAAAACATAGGCAAAAATCTCTTGGATATAAACATGAGCAACTCCTTCATGAACATATCTCCCCAGGCAAGGGAAACAAAAGCAAAAATGAACAAGTGGGACTCTATCAAGCTGAAAAGCTTCTGTACAGCAAAAGACACCATCAATAGAACAAAAGGGCATCCTACAGTATGGCATATCTGATAAAGGGTTGGCATCCAAAATATATAAAGAGCTCACACACCTCAACAAACAAAAAGCAATAATCCAATTAAAAAATGGGCACAGGAGCTGAACAGACAGTCCTCCAAAGAAGAAATTCAGATGGCCAACAGGCACATGAAAAGATGCTCCACATTGCAGAGAAATTAAAATTAAAACCACAATGAGATATCACCTCACACCAGTTAAGATGGCCACTGTCCAAAAGACAAACAACAAATGTTGGTGAGGTTGTGGAGAAAGGGGAACCCTCCTACACTGCTGGTGGGAATATAAATTAGTTCAACCATTGTGGAAAGCAGTATGGAGGTTCCTCAAAAAACTCAAAATAGAAATACCATTTGACCCAGGAATTCCACTCCTAGGAATTTACCCTAAGAATGCAGCAGTCCAGTTTGAGAAAGACATATGCACCCCTATTTTTATCGCAGCACTATTTACAATAGCCAAGAAATGGAAGCAACCTAAGTGTCCATCAGTAGATGAATGGATAAAGACGTGGTACATATACACAATGGAATATTATCCAGCCATAAGAAGAAATCAAATCCTACCATTTGCAACAACATTGATGGAGCTAGAAGGTATTATGCTCAGTGAAATAAGCCAGGTGGACAAAGACAAGTATCAGTTGATTGCACTCATCTGTGGAGTATAAGAACAAAGAAAAAACTGAAGGAGCAAAACAGCAGCAGACTCTCAGAACCCAAGAATGAACTAACAGTTACCAAAGGGAAAGGGACTGGGGAGGATGGGTGGAAAGGGAGGGATAAGGGGGAAAACGGGGCATTACGATTAGCACACATAATGTACCGGGGTAAGGGGGGCACGGGTATGTACAGAGAAGACAAGTAGTGATTCTATAGCATCTTACTACGCTGATGGACAGTGACTGTAATGGGGTATGTGGGGAGGACTTCACAATAGGGGGAGCCTAGTAACAATAATGTTGTTCAAGTAATTGTCATTGTACATTAACGGTATCAAAATAAAAATTAGAAAAAATATATATCCTTCATAAAAATATGTAGTTCAGGTGGAAGAAGTGCCTTTTCTTTTTTTACTTACTAAATTATGATACTGATTTTTTAGTTTTTTCTACTACTTATCCTAAGGTTTCTTATGGACTAGTCAGTTTCCATTTTTCTGAATGCTGATTGGTAGTTGCTTCAACTTAATTGGGAAGTATGGTGCTTTTTGTATTTCTAACAAACATATTCAAACATGATAAAATTCTTCATTTGGAAAAATTGGGGAGTGGCTTAGAAAATTCTGTTTTTAAAATATTATATGACTCAGGTGGGAATTTTTACATTTGTTTCTGGCCATAAAGACCACATGCATTAAAAACATTTCTGAACATCTATTTTCAAATGCTCTTCCTGTAGCCTGTATATCTTTTAAATGTTATTACTTTCTCATTCATTTTAACATTTTCTCTACACCTTTATGTCAAATGGACAGATAAAGCATATTTGATTTTTTAAAATATCCGCTGGCTTGTATGTCAACCCCTTCACAAAAAAAGCCAACAAGTTTGGAACACTGGTATTTGTAAAGCAACAATGACTATTTCAAGTTTATAATGCTTTCAGGTGGTTTGCCATGAGATGACTTATAACCCTCAAAGGGCGCCAAAGATTATCACAGTCATTCCCTTGTCTCATTAAGATTCTGTATCTTTTCTTTCAAGTAATCACATTGATGACATCCTGTGACATTTTGTGGATCTCTGTTTGAACTTTGTTGCTGCAGTGACATCCTTGTAACTGATGCAGTCTATGAATGTCATAGGAGGAGCAGGTCTGTGCATTTTCTTTTTAAATTCTGTCAAATGTGCCAGTCCATGATGGACGCCAACTCCCCACCATCTATTCTTAATTTAAAAAGCCTTCATTGTTGAGCACATATATTTCTTTGGCAGGCCATATAGAACCATTTCTTCATGTATTTTAATATTGAAACAGAATCTACCAGCTCAATTATGGAGTCACATTAGAAGCATCTTGACTTTCATTTGCTCAGCAACAGTTCGTTCAGCAATCATCCCATAGTTTGCAATTTTTACTAATACTTTGTGCTTTGTATCTTCTAAAGGGATTGATTTCTAACTAAAGAGAGCATTTTAATGTTTTGCCATTGCTTTATGTGAATTATTCCTCTCCTGCAGTTTCTCTAACAGCATATTCGCTACTAGATAAAAAATCTCAAAAGTGGCTTCTATCTATGTATAAATATTTAGTAAATGGTTTTAAAATCCTGGACTGAGAATCACACAGCTTTACATATAATCAAAACTAGAGGCTGTGTTTTTATATTCTGAATTCTTCATTGCAAATAGCTTGCTGATCTTGAGAATTTTGCTCTATCATCTTCTAATATTGCAGAGGAATACTCTACACTTAAGCCAGTGTTAATCATTAACAATCATGGATGTAGAAAGTTATATGTCAAATAGAATTTTTAAAAAACATTGTAATTTGAAATAATTTGGAGTTTAGAGAAGGACAGCTAATAAAGAACAAAGAGTCCCCATATACCCTTCAGGCAGCTTCCCCTAATGTTAACATTTATATAACCACTGTGTATTTTTCAAAACTAAAAATTAATGCTAGTATTGTAAACTACAGACGTTATTTGAATTTCTCAAGTTCTTCCATTATTGTCCTTTTCTTGTTTCAGGATCTAGCCCAGGATACCATGTTTTAAATTTTAAACTTTAAATATGACCAGAACAGTCAATAGTCAATGCCACATAATAATTTTGTGAAGATTTGTTTAGTTGAACTTATATTATTTGGCGATCCTGTTCACCAAGAACAAGTTAACTGCAAAATGCTACAAGATGCTTAAAGCAATGGTTTTCTTAGTCACTCTGTCGTGTGGCATTAGGGTCTCTTCTACTGTCCTTGAAATGAAGCAGTCTGGCTTGTGGACAGAATAAGGTGACAATCTCCACATGTAGACTAAATATTGCAGAGTCTTACTTTTCCTTTTTTAAAGATGAGAATTTGAAAGATAAAACTTTAAAATAAAAAAAAATCTTAAAGATAGAAATTTTCAAGTTTCCTTTCTATAGCAAATGTGTCTGCTGAAAGTAGATGTCTTGCATACCCCTGGAGTACATGCATCCCGTTTAGAGAACA